CCCGGCGTGAGTTTTAAGCCACCGGGTCCAGGACGCGAACCGCGGTCAACTACGGGGGAGTCCAGCGACATAGCCATTACGCTAATTGCTGGTTCCCAATATATGCTTTTTTTGTCCTATTGTTTTTTGGGTTTTTTGGGGGTATATTTAACTCCCTCAAGACATTATTTTTGTTTTGTACATAGTTCGTATTTATTTTTTCTCAGAATCTCGAACTTGCCTTCTGAGGTCATTTTTGTTCTCCCTTATGGTACCATGTAGTATTTCCTGTAGTATGGATTTGCTACCACCAGAGTCTGTTCTTGCTTTTCAAAAAGAATATTTTTATTTATTCTGCAATCTAGAAGCATATTTTCACTTTGTATAGAATTCTTGGTTGAGGGACTAGCATTTGGCGTAATGGCTATGTCACTGGACTCCCATAGAGCAACCGCAGTTTGAGTCCTGGACCCAGTGGCTTAAACTCATGCTGGGCTCGTGTGCATGCGTGCCCAAGATCTCGAGAGAATAGAGGAGAAGGGATTGCCATGTGCACCCCTCTCCCCCCAAGGGGTGATTTCTTACTTTCTGTCTGTCTCTGTTTTTCTGGTGAGCGCACACACCCTATAGCAAAAACGTCTCAAAAAAAAAAAAAACGTATTCTTGGTTGAGAGTTATCTTTCTTCTTATTGAAGGTATTGTTTCACTGTCTTCTGGGTTCCATTGTTGTTGAAAATTCAGCTATTTCATTCTAACATCTTCTTTCGAGGTCATCCTCCACACAGGCCCCCCCAATTATCTTTATGATTTTTTCTGACTTTATTTTTTGTGAAATATCTTGCTCTGATTTCTTGTTTATTTTGTTTGTAATACCTTGTACATCTTGAATGTGAGGATTGATGTCTTTCATCAATTCTGAGACATCTTAGCCACTTGATTTTGCTTCTACTCCATTTCATCTCTTTTCCTCCTGTGACTCCTGTTAAATTTGTTGATCTTTTTCACTCTTTTCTCTTACCTGCGACATTATGCATACCATTATTTTTTTCCCTCTGTGCCTTAGTCTCTGTAGTTTGTCTTCCATTTTATTCATTTTCTTTTTTAACTGTGCCTAAGTGTTTTTTTTTTTTTGGAGAGATTTTCACTACAGGGCGTGTGCACTCGCCAGACAGAAAGAGAGATATAGAGACAGAAAGCGAGAAATCATCCCCCAGGGGGGATGGTCGTGCCGCAGTCCCTTCTCCTCCATTCTCCTCTTGGGATCTTGGGCACGGACGCACACGTGCCCGGCGTGAGATTTAAACTACCAGGTCCGGGACGCAAACCGCGGTCAACTACGTGAGAGTCCAGCGAGAGTCCAGCGACATAGCCATTATGCTAACTGCTGGTTCCCAACTGTGCCTAAGTGTTTTTAAAATCTGCCCATTGAGTTACTAATTTTGATAATTGTTTATAGTTTTAGTTGGGAGCACTCCCTTCACCCCAGCCTAGTTTTAGAATTTCGAGTGTATGTGTTTTTTTTTCCCCTGTAAAATTTGCACTTGAATGATTTCCAGTTGTGGTAAAAAAAAAAAAAAAAAAAAAAACTTAAAAAAAAGTTTCCGTGAGTAAAATAAACATTTTATAGTTCTTCTGGTGATTCTACTCTCTGAAGTGCCCGTGGGTCTGTTTCTATGATATTATATGTTGTTAGCACCATTTCTTGTTTGTTGTGGCTCTTCTCTTCATGAACTGGTTATATTTGAGTGAACGTTGGGTGGTGTGTTTAGAAAATTATTTTCAGAAATAATTTGGATCTAGAATAATGTTACTTTCTTCCAGAAAGCAGTTTCGTTTTCTTCTGCCAGATGCCTGAGGCCTTGAGGGCACTAGCAGTCCTGGTTCATCACAATCCAATTAAGGTTTAGAGATTTTCCTGGGCTACTAAATAACTTAGAGCCGGACTGTGTTTTGTATCACTCTCATTGCTATTTCCGTGGAATATTTAGTCACTACCTTGTGAAGACTTTCTGTAAACCATGCCTGGATGGGTCTAGTATTATATAAGGAATATTGATTTTAAAAGATATTTGGGAAAAACTAGATGGGAAATCAGTGATCAGGAATGGCCAAAATAGTACATCTGTGAAGTATGTGCTGTGTTTAAGGAGACAAGGACACACGCAATGAGGAATAGCCTTACTACTGTCAGTTATCATCCATTGTGTATTTCTACAATGGTAAATTTAAAAATAAGGCTTAGTGACAAAAATTTCTGAAAAGTTTAGAAAATATATTCTATGAAGTTCTTATACTTTCCAGAAGAGGGCATTCTAGCATAATGAATTCAGGTCAACTTCTTTCCTGCAAAGGAAGATCCTTTTGAGATGTGACTTTGCTGTATTACTGTACTGCACTGTCATAGTGGTAAGATCAGGAGAGGACTTTAGTCTAATCCTGCAGGTGACAGTTTGGAAATCTAGGCCCAGGTGACAGAAATGATTTGCCATCTCACCATTCAGCCATTATTTACTGAGGAATTATAATACACTGTGGATGTGACCACATAGAGATACTATGAACAGGACAGACCAGACATTGCTCCTGGGGCAGCTTATAGTCCAATGGTAGGGGAGGAGTACAAATAGTAATGAAAAGTAATTTTAGAATCATTAAATGCTCTGAAGAAAATAACGAAGGGAGATAATGGAGAAGAAAGGGTACTGCTGCTTTACCTTGAGTGGTCAGGGAAGCATTCTCTGAGGAGGTGAGTTGTGACTGACAGATGTCGGTGAAGGGAGTGTTAAAGAAAGTACATTTCAGCCCGAGAAAATGTCCAATGCAAGGACTTGCACGTAGGAAATGGGAAGCAGACCATTATGTTTGAGGGGATTCATACAAGAGGCAGGCAGGTGTGAGTCAGACCACACTTGCATACGGGCTGTGTGTGGGAACTGCCCGGCCTCTGCAGCTGGCCTGCGTGTGTTTGCATCTCAACTCCATTTATTTGCTGGAAGATTTTTCTGAGGAGCGAGTCTGTAGCATTCATCATATCTGAATGGAAACCCAGAAATGAAAAAAGACTATCCACTATGACATTTTGCCTCTCAAAACATTTCTGAATGTCTGCGGCCCAGGCAGCCCCTGATCTGTGTTGATTTTCAAGGCTCAAAAGTTTAGAAGTATTACAACTAAATAAAACCTAAAGGGGATAAAAATCAGTATCTCAAGATAGTCGACCTTTCTGGGTATCAATCACTAATATGAACTTTAGAGGATCCTTTATTATTATTATTTTTTGGAGAGGCTTTTGCTATAGGGCACGTGGACTCGCCAGAAAGACAGAGCGAGACAGAGAGACAGAAAGCAAGAAATACCCCCTGGGGGGGATGGCCGTGCCACAATCCCTTCTCCTCCATTCTCCTCTTGGGATCTCGAGCACACATTTACTCGTGCCCAGCATGAGTTTAAGTCACCAAGTCCGGAACTCAAACTGTGATTGACTATATGGGAGTCCAGCGACTAGCCGTTACACCAGCTGCTGGTCCCATTGCACTTACAATTTTGTAACGAGGGTAGATCTCATGTTAAATGTTCTTACCGCAGTTTAAAAAAATAAATAGATAGGGACCAGCAGGTGGCTTGGAGGTTACAGTTCTGGACTCCCACATGGTCAACCATGGTTCGAGTTCCAAACCTGGAGGCTTGCTTTCTCAATTTCTCTCTCTCTCTCTCTCTCTCTCTCTGTCTCTCTGTCTCTGGTGAATGCACATGCCCTATAGCAAAGTTTAAAAAAATAATAATAACAAATAAAATTAACTAAATCTTTTAAAAATACAGTAAAAAATAAATAAAATGTTGGAAAAAATTGATAAGATTTTTTTTGTCAGTTGTTTATGATAAAAAGGAAGGTAGAAAGCAGTCATTTTTTATTGACTTATTTTGGGGCTCCTTAGGTCAGACTGATTATACTATACACACTCCGTAGAGATGTTCATCATTGTTTATAAGAAGACTTACTTTAATTGCACCACTTTGAATATATATGCCAGTATAAATGTGAACAGTTAAACCTAATTTTTCTTTAAAGCTTTTACAAGGTTCACATATAAGGATAACGATTAAAGAAAATTTTGTTGGATATGTTAGATCCCAGGAATGAGAGGCTCCCTGACACCTTAGGATCTACTTACCCTTCATCCACCCTTCAAGAAAAAAGATACACTAGTTTTAGGACATGCCAGTCTGACTTTCATTAACATTTTCTCCTTAGAATGAGAAAGTTTTCTGCCAAGATACTCTCATTAACTTGACCTTGTGGCCAATATCTCCTTTTTTGGCACAATTCCCAGATATACAAGGAAAGATTTCCAGTTAAGATGGTATTCCTCCAGATACTCCTTGTATAGGTGTTGCTGAATTTCTGGTGTGAGTGATCATCTCCGACTTCCTTAACTTGGCGGTTCTTTGGGGTAACGGGCACAGGGATGGAAATGAAATCTAGGGAACCAGCAGTTAGCGTAATGGCTATGTCGCTGGATTCCCACGTAGTCGACCGCGGTTCGTGTCCCGGACCCGGTGGCTTAAAAACTCACGCCGGGCGCATGTGCGTGCGTGCCCAAGATCCCAAGAGGAGAATGGAGGAGAAGGGATTGCGGCGTGACCATCCCCCCTGGGGGGTGATTTCTCGCTTTCTGTCTCTATGTCTCTCTCTGTCTGTCTGGCGAGCGCACGCGCCCTACAGTGAAAAATCTCTCAAAAAAAAAAAAAAAGAAATGAAATCTAAAAGTCTATAACCCCCCGCCCCCTTAGCAAGTTTTTCTTCTCAGTGCTGCAGTTTTATCTAGCACCTCCAAGAATATAGCCTCAACAGTATGGGCATGCTGACAAAACAAAACATAACAAACACAACATTATACAAAATTCAAGCTGGTGTCTGGGGGGGGGAGGTGCAGGTTTGCTTTATGATAAGAGTCAGTGGGAGCGTCATTGGTAAATGACCGGTACAGTTCATGTTAAATAGTAGTGAAGTATATTGAACACATTGGGCACAATTCTATATTTAATGTCGACTTACTGAAAAAGAAATGCTACTTTTTTTGGTAGCTTTAAGTGTTTTCTGTCTTATACAGTTAACAGGCTTCTGGCTAATCTCAGTGCATGCGTTATTATTTCAGGTCCTGTGGGAATGGCTGCTGATGCTGCCGTGGCAACCGGAAAGAAACGGAAACGGCCTCACGTGTTTGAGTCTAATCCATCAATCCGGAAGAGACAGCAAACACGTTTGCTTCGGTGAGGGCGCCCTTATCCACGTCCTTACTCTTCCTCAGATACTTTTTGTGTGGCTGACAGATTTAGAACATAGGTTCTTTGATTCATCAGGGACATCAGTTGGACTCCTTGATGACAGATTTGCACTTTAAAGTGCTCTTAAAAATGTAGTAAATGAAAACCTAAAAGCAGGATTTAACAGAGGTATCATACCACGTTAGTTAATTCAGAGAAATTTGTGTGCCTACCAGGTACCAGACATTCATTGTTCCTGCACTGGGAATATAAGAGAGTAAAACAAATATCCTGAAAGAGTTTATATTTTGTAGAGGGCAAAAGAAAGCAAACAAATGCGTAATATTATATGTCATGTCATGATAAGTGTTATGGAAAAGAATTAAGTGGAGTAAAGGAAATAGAAAGGTCGAGAAGTGGGGAACATAGTTATTTCTTTCTTTTATAGGGATGATCTGGGAAATCCTTTCTGTTTAGAACAAAAGTCTCAGGCCAGCAGATGACATGGTAATTAAGGTGCTGGACTCCAGCACAGCCAACTGTGGTTCGATCCCAGACCTGGTGGCTTGCTTTCTCATTTTCCTTCTCTCACTCTTTCTCTGGTGAGCACACATGCCCTATAGCATATTAAAAATAAATAATAAATAATAACATTAAATAATAATCTTTTTTTAAAAGAACAAAAATCTGAATAGATTGAAAGGGCAGCTCTTAGGTGTGGTGGCGCCTACTCTATGAAAAGGGCAACTATGTGAATTCCTAGGAAAGAGCATTTCAGGTGGAGGGAATGTCAAGAGCAACGATCCTGACGTGGGAATATGGTAGTCCTGTGTGAGGAGCAGCTAGGGAGAAAAGGAGAGGGAACGTGGTCAGAATAGCAGAGGGCCACCACGCCCTCAGCTCTTCTAGCCGGTAGGAGAGCTTTAACTCTGAGCAGGGAAAGTCAATGAAGGCTTTTGACCAGAGCAGTGATATAATCTGACTTATGTTTTTAAAGAATCACTCAGACTCTACAGGAATGGAAGCAGGGAGACTGTTTAGGAGACTATAGTAGTAGGCTAGGCTTGAACTCATAGAGTCTTAAAATCACCGTGGCAGCAGCAGCAATAGTAAGAAGGGGTCAGGTTCCAGATGTATTTCAAAAGTCTACTCGGCACAGTCTGCTAATGGACTAGGAGTAAGGGAGGATGAAGGAGTTAAGGGTGAACTAGAGTTTTGGGGTGATTACTAGGAGGAGGGGCATGCGTGGCAGTGAATATAGAGTAGAACAGGAATTTGGGTTTGGACGTAATAACTCTGTGATACCTCTTAACCATTTAGTAGAGATACATAATAAGCCTTTGGATGTTTGAGTCAAATTCAAAGGATGGGTCTCAGTTGAAGATATCATAAGCAGGTAGGTAGTATTTATTGAATGGTTGTGATCACTTAGGGAGTACATATGGACTGAACTCTAAAGCATGCCACCCTTTAGAGCTGGGGAGATGAAAGGAAGCAGCAAAGGAGTTTAAGAAGCAACTCTAGACTCAGAAGAAAAAAAACAAAACAAGATAGTGTCCTCCTGGAAACCAAGCGCACAAAGTGCTTCAGGAATGAGGGATCAGCCTTGTCAAATGCTGCTGGCAGGTTGGACCAGATGCCAGCTCATTGTTAGATTTTGCAGCATGAAGGTCATGAGTGATCTTGACCAGAGTGTTTGCAAAAGAGTGGTGGGGAGAGAGGGATGGGAGACCATGACTATAAACCATTTCTTGAAGGAATGCTGCCAGATGCCTTCTTTAATTTGTGGTCCTTTGTTTGCCAGTCTCTTGAAAGGGCAGCCCATGTTCCCAAAAGAATTTTAAAATGTAGAACTTTAAAATAATCTCCAGCAATTTCAGAGGAAAAAAAAATAGTCTTTCTGTTCATCCATTGTTGCCATATTTGAAAAAGCTCTTTTCATTTCATCCTCTTTTGTAAGGTAATGTATGACTGGGAATTACTGTTTATATCACTGTATCACCTCTAGCTGTAACTTTTAAAATTTTAGGTTTTTGACATAGGGCTTGTGCACCCCGAAGAGAGACAGAGAGAGGGAAAGTGAGAAATCACCTCTTGGGGGGGGATAGCCACACCACAGTCCCTTCTCCCCCCAGGATTTTGGATTCACACACACTCATGCCTAGCATGGTTTTTAAGCCACTGGATCTGAGATTCAAACTGCAGTGGACCATGTGAGAGTCCAGCATCTTAACCATGCCACCTGCTGGGCATGAAGCTGCAACATTTTTTTTGGAGAGGCTTTTTGCCTTAGGGCATGTGCGCTCGCCACACAGAGAGACAGAAAGCGAGAAATCACCCTCCAGGGGGGATGGCCATGCTGCAATCCCTTCTCCTCTATTCTCCTCTCGGGATCTTGGGCACACAGGCACATGAGTCCAGCGTGAGTTTTAAGCCACCGGGTCCGTGACAGGAACCACGGTCGATTACGTGGGAGTCCAGCGACATAGCCGTTACGCTAACTGCTGGCCCCACTGCAACATTTTTAAACAAGATTTTTTCAGTAAAATTATGTCAGTGATATTGAGGGGGTCTTCTAAAAGTTCATGAGAAATGCATACTATGAAAAAAAATCTGCATGGATTTTACATTTTTTTCAGCAAAATTAATTCATACTTTCATTCTATTTTTCTACAGAATGTTTGAAGTTCCTTCATATAAACAATGACTATTTCAATGAATGACATTTAAAGCAAGTCATTTGAGCCACCTTCTTTAAACGTGAAGGTGATATAATAAAGTCCAAAAGAGGACATCTCAGCAGAAATATTTTAAATGATAAGTAACAGTAATTGGTGTTGCTTACATCAGGATGATACTTATGCTCAGGATTTTGGCATGTCCATGTTCCAAGGCAAAACCCTCAGGAGATTCATTGAGCTAGACATAGATCTTTACGAGAGAGGGTATGACAGTATTTCTGCTGAACAGGATTTCAAACCTCACATTCCCTCTTTCACATTTCAGGTGAAAGGAAGCAGATCTGATCAGCCTACATTGCTTCTACTCAAAATTTTATCTGTTGTCAGTGTCACTATGATTCCTATCTTCTTTAACTGTTTCTATTCCCTTTTATTCTCTGATTCAGGAAGCTTCGAGCCACATTAGATGAATATACTACTCGAGTGGGACAGCAAGCCATTGTCCTCTGTATCTCACCCTCCAAACCCAACCCTGTCTTTAAAGTGTTTGGTGCAGCTCCTTTGGAGAATGTGGTAAGTCAGAGCTAAGCTGCGTGCTGATGCCCTTTGCTTTCTGTAGGTTGTCTCCCATTCTTCTGTCCCTGCCTACTACAGTAGTTAGCACTTCCATCCCGTTCTCATCCTGGAGCGGAACTGGGTCTGGTTTTCAATCCAGTTTCTGCAGATCATTATTATTTCTACTTCCCTTAACAAGGTATTCTGCCTCACCAGATGCAGTGGGGGGAAATGGTGTTTTGTTTGCTAAGAAAACATCAGGCATTTGTTAAGAAAATCCCTGATTTATGTCAGAAGCAAAATGGTAAATAATTCCAGGATGTCAACTTCATCTAAGGCAAATCTGGAAGCATTTTTGGATAGTTCTTTACATTGATCTTCTGATCTGTGACTTGGGGTCCTCGAGTGTAAAAAAAGATGATAATACTTACCTCACTGGGAGCAGTAGAAATCAATTAAAGTCAGTTATAATCTCCTTTCTGCGTTTTGGGAGAGCCGGCATGAAAAGCTTTGACAAATGGTAGATTTCGAAGTTGCCGTGCCCAGAGGGCATGCTCTGGGTGGGGTGCTGCCATATCATATACTGTCATGAGCTTTTTGGGAATAGGCCTAGAAATACTTTGTTGGGGGGATCTTCTTATCGTTCCATCCCCTTCTTCCCTCCCTGCTTCCCTCCTTTCCTTCCCTCTTTCTTAAGACCTATGAGAGTTTCTGAAAGTAGAGTTCCTTCCTCAGAGTCCGTAATCTATAACATTTAGACGGAGATACACTGGATATGACTAAGCAGTTTTAGGTATGGCAATCATTCACAGAGGGAAGAAGTAGCTCTGAGGTTATAACCAGCTTCTTAGAAATATCCTTCTTCCTTTGTTTTATTCTACCTTCCCAGTAGGTATAGGGATTCTGGAATCGGTCTTTTTGCTTTTTATCAAAGAAATATTAATTTTAATTTTATTTATTCATTCATTTATTTTAATTTGATGAGAGACACAGGGAGAGAAAGAAAGGAAAGTGAGGAAGCAAGCCACCAGGTTCAGGACTTGAACCATGGTCAGCCATGTGGGAGCACTGTAACCACCACGTCACCCGCTATCCCTGGAGACAGTCTTAATATCTTGTTCTAAGTTACTCATTTATATAGTTGTGTACAGTTTTAATTTTTTTGTTTTTGATTTTGTTTTATTTTTGAGAGGGATGAATTGAGGAAGGAGAGACATTCTAGACAGGATCTTACCTTGTGCTGATTCTCCTGCCTCAGCCTCCCAGTTAGCTAGGAATACAGATGTGTGTGGGCCAAGATTTTGGTTGGTCCACGAATCAAACCTGGGCATCTCCTGACAACCCAGCCTGGCTTGGTAGTGCCCTACCTCTCATGCCACCTCAATTTTACCTATATATGTTTTTATAAATGGCTTCATGAAATGTAGAACTTGACTTAAAAAGTAAAAGCCCTATCATTCATTATTTACTTATTCAACATATAATGATTCAACATTGTTAGATACAAAGTATGTGATAAGGATTTCACCTAAGTCTGGTGAGGTTTTAAGGTTCAGAACTGGAGATTTAGGGGAGTGAGGGAGAGCTGAGGCAGGGAGGAGAGGAGCTACCCTTGGACTGGAGCTAGAACAGAATACAGCCAATGTACCTTCATGGCTGCAGCCTGAGACCTGGCCCAGCACCAGGCGTGCTTCAGAACCACAGGACTGAGGGCATCTCGACACTTCGACATACGTCCCAGATGGCTGTGTTTTTAGCCTCCAAGGACTTACAGATAAATATTTTCTTGATCGGATCTTCCTGAAGATGCCTCTTTTATCCAGAAAGCTTTTGGAATACAAAAGAATGATGGAATCTTGTTTCGGACTGTTTTTTGCAAATTGACTGAAAGCCTATTAATTTAATCCTAAATTTTTAACAAGCACATTCTGTGCCCAGAACTCTAATGTTCAGTTTTTTCCCATATATTGGCAGTGTAAAAACTCTACATAAGATACAGGTACATAGTAAGTACAGCAGAAAATGTAATTCTGTAAAGTTGCAGTGGTAGCCTCAGCTGCTTATGTTAAATAAGTAGAAAGTATTGATTTAAAAAAATTTTTTTTATCCCCTAAGTACTAACCTAATTGGAGAATTCCTTTTTAAAAATTAATTTATCAATTCATTTAGGGGACGGCAGGTGGCATGGTGGTTAAGGTGCTGGACTCCCACATGGCCGACCACGGTTTGAGTTCTGGACTTGGCAGCTTGCTTTCTCACTTTCTTTCTCTCTCACTCACACACTGTCTGTTCCTCTCTGGTCAAATTAAAATAAATAAACCAAGTAAATAAATAATGTTAAATAGAATAACTATTTTAAAAATTAGACAATTTATATATTTTAAATTATATAAACATTTATTCATGATAGAGTACACACACGTGCATGTGAGAGGGAGAGTGCCAGAGAGAGAGATAGAGGGGTGCCCTCTACAGGGTCTGGTCATGCTGCAGTCCCCTTCTGCCAGTCCTCTAGCCCATTGGATTTGGGGCACTCATGCATATATACTCAGTCGATTTTGGGTGTGTGAGCCAGGGATTTGAACTATAGTCACTACGTGGGATCCAGCTACTCTTGAGCAGCATATTACTGCTGCCCCACGAAGCCGGTCTCCTGGAGCATTCTTTAACTCCAGCAGTCTTTCTATAACTAAAAATTTGATTTTCTAGGTACTTGGTATATAGTACAGGAATCTTTCTTTTTTAATCATTATGAACAGATACTTACAGAAAAAAATATGTCCTGATTAAAAGTCCAGTCTACTTTTCAATAGGATAAAGCTTTGAACTCTCAAAGTAAGTTAATTTCCTATCCTATCTTGTAATGTATTTCTGTAATTCTGTGGCTTCTTTGTTTTTCCCAGAGGTGTCCTCATCCCCCTTGTGTATTCTCCTAAGTGAATGACTCCATTATGGGTGGTTGTAGGATCCAGTGTCTGTCTGTCCTTTCTGTCCATGATAGAAGAATGTGCTGCTGTTAAGTTCTCTGTATTTTGAGAGACGTTTCACTCGTGATGAGGAATGGCATCAGAGAGTAACTATATCTGGTTCAGGCCTGGGCTAGATCTACAGAGGCATTGTGGGTGGTGTGAAAGTTCACATCTGTCCCTGGGAGAACCAGAAGAGAGGAGGAGGACCTTACTGATGGTGGCACGTTTGGCACTCAGCTACAGCATACCCCTCTTGTATTTTCCTCTGACTCTTTTTAATCCAGCCTCTTGTACACTTGAATCTGTCTGTTTAGTAGTCTGACTTTGCAGGGATGTAGCAACAAGGGGTAAATAGGTTTCTTAGAGGGTTAGTAATGTAAGTCCTTGGGCATCTTGAAAATAATTTCTGTGATTAACTACAACAGCTAGGCGTTAATCAAATGGCCTGGAAAATGCAAAATAACAAATGCCATTTCTCTTACATAGATCAAGAACAGATGAGGGGCCCACGCTGATGGAAGAATTTGGATTTTAAGTTGGAAACAGTATTTCTGTAAAACTTTCTCTTCTGGCTCCTTTCTACTGTCGTTACCTGTAATTTCATCATCTTTTCATTTAATTCTGTTCAGTGCGATGTCTTTGGGGCCAGCGGGTATTTTTACCTGTTAGTTGTAGAAGTGTTTGTTCAGGGAGCTGCCACGGCTGGGGGAGGCCAGCCCTGCCCACTTTCTTGTTGCTTGGCACCAATCCTCTCTGGTTGTTGGGCATCTTGTTTACCTCTGCCTTTAATTCCCTGCAGGTGCGCAAGTACAAGAGTATGATCTTGGAAGACCTGGAGTCTGCTCTGGCAGAACACGCCCCTGCGCCACAGGAGGTTAACTCCGAACTGCCTCCTCTCACCATCGACGGAATTCCAGTCTCTGTGGACAAAATGACCCAGGTAAGGGGCGGGAAGTGAGGAGGAGACACAGACACCAGTGGCCCAGGTGAGGGCGGGCCTCTGATTACTTCTACTTTTAGCCTCAGTGCTGCAACCAGAGACTGAGCTGCAGGCTGGAGTCCAACAGTGAATGGTGGCAGCCTTGGAAAGACACCGTAGTGTCAGAAGGATGCTCACAACCGGGGGCATGGTTGTGCTCTCCTTTTGTGGACAATCTTCCTTTCCCGTCAGCCTTTGGGTTGGATAAAACAAATTTCAGCTTGGGATTGGCTCCTAACAGGAAAATGTTAGGCGTTTGATGAATCACCATCAAGTGAGATAAGCAAACTTTTAGTCTCTTTCTGACTGGGCTACTCTTTGTCCCATGTAAATTCTGAATACCACTACATTATTGCTAAGTGAAGCTCCCCTCCCTGGGGAATGGCATCCAAAAACTCAGAAGGACCTCCTTCTGAGCTCCTTCATTTTCCTAGGTAACTTAACATCCTTGCCTGTGAGCTTCTTACAGACTCCAGAGTCTCAGCCTTGTGTTCCACATTGCTCTGTGCTTTGTCCATGTGAACCTTTGTAGCCTGGTGTAGCTCAGTTCAGCTCTAGAATCCATCAATTCTCCTTAAACCGCCCTCCCCCCCAACCCCGAGTTTCTGTCTTTGTAGCATTTACCACTACCTGGGATGATCTTATTTACTATATTTTATACTGGTTTGTGCTCTCTCTCTCCAGCAAAATGTGAGAGCAGGGATCTAGTTTAGTACAGCTGCGCAGCACCTAAAATAACATGCCATCTAAGTCATAGTACCCACTCAGTAAAGGGCCTGAGGGCTAGGGCGAAAAGGAACAGAGCACAGTGGTGCGTAATTGCATCACCAGTCCCCTGAACAGGGGTCCATTCAGGTGGACACCGACGGTGCTACTCACGAGGTGGCACTTTTCACCCTTGTTAAGTGCAACAACTTGGTTTGAAGTATTTCTACATCTTATATATGTAAAGCTGAATTGTGATCTTTGAATTGTTGGATGAATAGACCTTTCTGTGCGGACTTGAAAGGTCTCTAAATAATGGATCAAGAAGGAAAGCATTAAACTTTTTTTTTTTAACTGTGCCTTTATCATTGCTTTGTACATCCCCAGGCCATTCTGATGACTTAAAACATATGGCGAATCTATTTGGTACACCTAAGCTGACCAGACCCACTTTCATGATGGGCATTTTTCCCCCTCTTGGTCACCTTTGATGTATTAAATTGAAACAATTTGAAATTCTGATTATATTAAATCATCCTGGATCCTGATTTTTATGAAAATGTGGCCAATGTCTATGGAAATCAGAGCAGGGCTTTTTTTTTTTTTTTTTAATTGTTTTGGTGATAAAACATAGGAAACTTATTTTCTGTTTTTGTGAAATAAATGCTCAAGAGAGCTCAGAGCAGTGGTGACTCCAGGGGTGTTGCCATCAGTCAGATGCACGTGAATTTTGTTTTGTTGAGGTGTATATTTTCTCTGTCAGTCATTCCCTACTATTCCTTCTCACCATAGACAGTGAGAGAAAGAAAAAAAAAAAAAACTAAACACAGAACTAACAAATGGTGAGGTGTCAGCCGGATGATGAAAAACCCAGCTCCAGGCCCAGTAGGAATTTGTTTGGAGCCTTTTAGCCTTTTGAGGTTGTCCTTTGTTTTGTTTTCCTCAAATACTTTCTTCTTAACTTGAGCCAAATACTTCTCCTTTCAAATTGATTCTCCAGCCTCCAGTAGTTTTTGCCGTAGGGCGGGCACAACCACACCCTACAGGCTTTTACTGTTAGTAGTAGTAAACGTGTTTGATTTCAAACACAGCCTAGACAGGCAAGAGTCTGAAATGCAAACACTGTGATACATTGTCAGTAGGAATGCAGGTTGGCATCCTTTACTAGAGGGCAGGTTAGCAATGCTCATCAGAGTTTAAAATGTCATGTTGGGACCAGATGGTTATATTGCTGGACTCCCGTGTAGTCAACCGCAGTTCAAGTCCTGGACCCAGAGGCTTGAAACTCTGGTCAAGTGCATGTACATCAGTGTCCAAAATCCAAAGAGGAGAATGAAGGAGAAGGGATTGCAGATGGGATCCCCCAAGGGGGTGATTTCTTGCTTTCTGTCTCTGTCTCTCTGAGAAGCGCACATGCCCTATAGTAAAAAATCTCTCTAAAAAATAAAAAAAGAAAGTGAGAATAAATAGATATTGTATAGGAAGGTGCGTTGAAAACTAAGGCATCACATAAAGGTGTTAATACTGCTTACTAATATAATTACATGTATTGCCTGACTTTCCTTTTAAATAACTTGAACATGACATCTCTCATCCTTTCTTTATTAGAGAGTTAATGAACCAAGCATTTTAATTTTTCTCAGCAATAAGATGAGACTGTACAGGTGATAGCCTATTATGCAGGTTGAAAAATTGTGACAGAAATAGAAAAATCAGTTATAATCAAGTTAGTGCCGGGACCAGCAGTTAGCATAATGGCTATGTCGCTGGACTCCCACGTAGTTGACCGGGGTTTGTGTTCCAGACCCAGTGGCTTAAAACCCAAGCTGGGCGCGTGTGCGTGCATGCCCAAGATCCTGAGAAGAGAATGGAGGAGAAGGGATTGTGGTGTGACCATCCCCCCTGGGGGGTGATTTCTGGCTTTCTGTCTCTCCGTCTCTCTGTATCTGGCAAGCGCATGCGCCCTATAGCAAAAACCTCTCAAAAAAAACTTTCAAGTTAGTGCCAAACAGGAATAGACTTTAGGGGCAAACCCATATTGCTGGTGCTTTTCTCTTTTCCTATAAAACTGTAGGGTTAAGTCTTTCTATTTTTTTAAAGAGAGATTTTTTTTGTTATGGGGCGTGTGTACTCACCAGAGAGACAGAAAGTGAGAAATCACTCCCCGGGAGGGATGGCCACACCACAATCCCTTCTCCTCCACTCTTTTATAGGGATCTTGGACACACGTGCACACGCGCCTGGCCTAGTTTTAAGCCATGGGGTCTGAGACTCTAACCACGGTTGACTGTGTGGGAGTACAACATAACCATTACGCCATCTGCTGGCCCCAGGGTTGAGTTTCTCAAATCACAGCAAACTAGTTTTTTCAGTTAGATTTTTTTTTTTTTTTTTTAAGAAAGATTTTTGCTATAGGGCATGTGCACTCACTAGAGTGGATGGCCACGCTGCAATCCTTCTCTGTTCTCCCGGGATTTTGGGCACATACATACAAGTTCCTGGCGTGAGGTTTAAGCTGCTTGGTCCAGGACTCGAACCGTGGTTGACTACTTTGGAGTTCAGCATTGTAACCGTTATGCCATCTGCTGGCCCCAACATTTAGTTTAATTCTCCCCCCAAAGAATTATTTATTTAATTTTGTTTATGTATTTTAATTTGATTTGAGAGAGACAGAGTGAGAGAGTACAAGAGAGGCAGGAAGTAAGAAAGCAACCCATCAGGTCCAGGACTCAAACCGTGGTCAGCCATGTGGGAGCCCAGCACCCTTAACCACCATGCCACCTGCCGGCCCCCCAACATACAGTTTATAAAAACAATTTCTTGACTTGCTCCTAAGACTCAGAGTTGTCTCGGACACAGATAGAAATTACACGTAACTGAGTATGAGAAGTTCTGTATGAACTAAATGCTTTCTTTTAGAAAGCAGCTCTATAGGGTGTGTGTCTGTGTTGATGTCTCTTGTTCGTTTTATTTTTGTTTTCTAAGTAAAAGTAGAATACATTATCAGTGAAAGGCTTTTCCTGAAAACTTGTTTTTACTCTATCTCGAGTGGGTCTTTTTTTTTGTATGTGTGTTAAAGAAAAAGATCAACACATAATTCTAGTATTTTTAATGATGAAATGAAAACTTACTCTTAGGCACCTTTAAGAATAGTGACTAGAGCTTGTCCCACATTTGTCTGCCCTCCTTGCATAAGGAGGAGGATGCGTTATAGCCTAGCAGGTTCTGTAAGCCTGGAATTTATCAACGATGAAGTCACCTTGACGTTGAAAGTCGGGCTAGCAAGTTCTTCTAGGTAGGATACAGCAGACCAGAGGCTAGAGGGTGGGCTATGTCAGTGCTTCTCACACCTCAGTGTGCATAGGAACTACCCACAAGTCTTGTTCAAGTGCAGACCATGAATTAGGAGGCCGGAGGGGACCTAAGAATTCTGCCTTTCGGAGAGCGCCCCGGCAGCACATGGCTGCTGATTCTCAGGCTGCACTTGGCGTCCAAGGAATTACATTGCTTCTTGTATTGTATTTACGCCGTAATCGTGATTTTGCTACTGGAAAGTCAGTCTACACTTGAGTCCTGTAGGATTCTCTTGTTCTTGGGAGGCTGTAAATCTTCTTGGGATCTGTATTAGAAGGATCCACATAGTTATAGTTTCTGAAGAAACCTCTCTGGAAAGACCTGTCCCATATTCCTAGTTAAAATCCACTCTTCTTTCCCTTCTCCCTTCCCTCTCCCCCCTTGACCTTCCTGCCCTCCTCTTGATCTCACTGGGGACAGCCTCTGGTTGCTCTAATATTCCCTTGGAGTGATGATGCAACTGGATGGTAACTCTTCACCATTTTCAGGGAAACCTTCAAAAACACCCAGAACAGTGATCATTGAGAAGAAATATTCACAAGGAGCACATCTTTTACTTAGAAAACTTTCAGTCTGATGGTTTTTTGATGGTTTTGTTTTGTTTTTTGTCTTAGGAAAACATAGGTCTGGCCTCTTCTACCCAAAGAGTAGAAAGATTACTCTAAGTTTACACCAGTCAGGAAAGGAAAATAGTGTGTTTTCATTTATGTGAGGTCTCCATGGGCAAAAATCATAGAGACAGGAAGTAGCATAGTGCTTACCAGGCCTTGGGGAGAGGCAGAAATGGGGAGTTAGTGTTTTCTTGGGTCCGGAGTTCCTGTTTGTGATAAAATGGAAGTAGTGGTGATAATTATCCACCATTTGTGAATATACTTAATGCCACTGAATTATACATGTTAAAG